CGGCAATTTCGCAGGTCGCAGCCCCCCACGGACGGCGAGCTACCGCTCGGATCCGCGCGGTGCTTCACTCCGCTGGACACGCCAGCAGCCCTCGAAAGTGGCGATAGGTTCGCAGATCGCTGCCCCCGAACGAAGGGAGGATGCACGCGCGCGGGGCGCGCGCAAAGCAAGAGGAGACAGGAGGGGGGCGAGAGACCGAAGGCGGGAGGCGGGAGGAGGAGTAGAAAGACGCGACTCTATTCAACACGAATACCCAACCAAGGAGGGTCGGGAAAAAACAGGTCATCTGCAAACCGGAGATTCGCCAAAAACTCTTGGCCCATGCGCGCGCCGATCTCTCTCTGCCGCGTCTCCGCTTTCCGCCGCCGCATGAGGCGTTCCAGAACTGCATTCAACAGTGCCGGGCTGCGAGGGTCTCCTTGTCGAGTGCCGCGGTCCAGCCTGTATACGCGGCATGTGTAACCGGCTGCCGCCTGGGCTTTTCGTCTGGTGTACTTCGCACAGGTACCTTGACATACTGCGCGCGTCATGCCTCCCACGCGGCATCTTGCAGAACATGGCCAAACGCCTTTTCGAAACCTACGGCTGCTATCCATGGAGGCATTTGAGATTCCCGCATCTTATCTTGCAACAGTGCGAATGTAGAACGCGGCCATTGCAACTCAAGCGCTTCCGAACACCAGTTCGGTCAGCCGATCGCACCTGCTCCAAGAACGGGTGCATGCGGTCATTGGGGATCATACCAAATAGATTGTACAATGTCGGCAGGACTGGTATGGGACGATACTTATGCAGAAGTGTGGGGTCGCCCTTGTAATTTAAAGCTTGTGCTCTTGTCTGCTTCCGGGAAATCTGGCGGCCCCCCATCACCAGCCAACGCATCGTTAAACAACGTTCGTTGGCATCTGCCAACAACGCCCCCTCGCACTTCAACGTCTCCACGGCGATGTCTCCGCTGCCGCCGCTCGATTTGCCCCGCTTCATCCTCCGCAACTGTTTCTTTACTTCCTCCGCTGTAGCACGATGTGCGTCGGCCGCATGATGTGCGCCATGCCCGTCTCGCCGGTGGCCTGGATGTTCTTCTCTGCGGCGCCGAGAGTGCAGCCCCTCATGGCGCAAGGTGTTCCGGACAAAGGCTCAATGTGTCCTCCTGCCTGCCTCCAGGAGGCCGCGGGACCATCTCAAGACGGCCCCGAGTGGCCTCCGAGCGCCTCCAGGAGATCACGGGGGCTCCCAACTTCTTCCAGAACCGATGGAAACCAACAATGTGTACTTTCTCGCCTTTTCGTGTCCGATGGGCCTCCGAGGCCTTGACATTTCCCCAAGATCGCACAGAAAACCCAAGAGGGATCCAGAAGAGGTCCGACACGATCCCAATAACGCCCCATGAGCGGCATAAGGCGGCCTCCAAATTTGACATGCTCGGGATCCAGAGGGGCGACGCTATAAAGATCCTTTTTGTCTTTATCGCCCAAGGTTTCCGAAGGCCCCTAAAGAAAAGGGCACCGACAGGGCCCGGGAAGCCACCCAACTGGTCCACGACGGATCCAAGGTGGCTCTAAGAGGCCCTGAGACCGACACATCAGCGAAAGTCTTCATGCTGAACTCCTGCCGTCGTCCTCTTCCTCCTGGACGCTCTCATTCTCCTCCTTCGACGGCGAGCTCAACAATTCCGCTCCGGGGCATGCTCAAGTTGATTCCGAACATGGGCTCGACTGCTGACTGACCTGTCTGTTCCACTGGATGCTCTTTCGCGTCCGTGATTCGGGCAACTCCTCTGGATATCGTCCCTGCATTCGTTAGTGGGGATACTTTTTGGTCGGCGGCTCCGAAGCAACGGACAGGGGGCGGCAGCGGCGTCCGGGTCACGGTACGGGGCTAATTTGCAAGGCAATTGCCGCCAGAGTCGGCGGACAAAGCTCGCACCTGCAAGACAAACTCGCAGTTGCACGTGCACAGAACAAAATGAACTAAATTCGCAAGGCAATCGCACTTAGGCCAGCCCGAACCGAAGTGGGCAGGCCGCCGAGAAGAAAGTGCGGAGGCATCGAAGTGAGTCGCCAGGGCGGCGCCAGACTCCTTGTCGACCTGCACAAGCCGAGCGGCTGTGCGGTTGCAACCGGAAACAGTGCGCGTCGGGGGAAAACCAACGGCTGCACAGGCGTTGTAGGCTGAACCACTCAGCGCCCAGTCCTCAGTAATCCGCCTCCCAGTGCCGAGGGGGGCCAGCGGCTGCCCAAGGCGCAACTGTGGTGCCGTACCCTGAAGCGAAGAGGTCCGCTGGCGTGGGCAGCACCGCCGTCGGGTGGTGATGGTCGGCGCACTGATGGTGGAACCGTCTGCGCTGCCTGCCAGGGGGGTCCTGCTGCAGTGAAGCTGAGGTGGCCAGCCAACCCCGACTGTCGCATGGCGCTGACCCTGAGCCCGAGCGCCGAGACACACACACACACACACACACACACACACACACACACACACACACACACACACGCACGCACGCACGCACGCACGCACGCACGCACGCACGCACGCACGCACGCACGCACGCACGCACGCACGCACGCACGCACGCACGCACGCACGCACGCACGCACGCACGCGCACGCACCCGCACGCACCCGCACGCACCCGCACGCACCCGCACGCACCCGCACGCACCCGCACGCACCCGCACGCACCCGCACGCACCCGCACGCACCCGCACGCACCCGCACGCACCCGCACGCACCCGCACGCACCCGCACGCACCCGCACGCACCGCACGCACACGCACGCACCGCACGCACACGCACGCGCACGCACACACACGCACACACACGCACACACACGCACACACACACAGCACACAGCACACAGCACACAGCACACGCACCACAGCCCACACCCACGCACCACACGCACCACACCACGCCCCCCAACACGCACACACACGCACCACACACCCAACACCACACACAACGCACACACACAACACACGGCACACGCACACGCACACGCACACGCAACGCCACGCGCACGCCACACGCGCACGCACACGGCACGCGCACGCGCCAGCGCACACGCACACGCAACCGCACCGCACGACGACCGAACGCACGCACGACGGCTCCAGCGAGCACGCACGCACCGCACGCACTCACAACGCAACACACACACACACCGCAACACGCACACCGCAGCACACAGAAGCACGCACGCACGCACCGCACCGCCGACGCACGCACACACGCACACACGCACACACGCACACACGCACACACACGCACGCACGCACACACACGCACACACGCCACACGCGCACACACGCACACACGCACACACGCACACACGCACACACGCACACACGCACACTCGCACACACGCACACACGCACACACGCACACACGCACACACGCACACACGCACACACGCACACACGCACACACGCACACACGCACACACGCACACACGCGCACACGCGCACACGCCGCACACACGCAACGCTGCCACGGAACACGCACACACCGCACACACGCACACGGCACACG